GACCCGGATGATTTTGTATGTAGATNCAGTCATTCAAATATCTGGGAGTGACAACGGATGCAAAATGGAGCTGGAAGCCACATATCAGTAATTTGCTAAAGAAATTAGGTCATCGTCTTTCTTTGTTTAATCGCATATTTCATATGTTAGACAATAGAGCTCGCACAGCCTTCTACAGTGGGCTAGTGCTGCCACACCTAGACTATGCCGACACAGTGTGGGGAGATCAACCGGGTCTAAAATCAGAAATGGAAAAATTGCAGAGTTTTCACAACAGATTTGCGAAGAAAATTAAATTAGGCAAGTTGTCTTCTTCAGAAGCTCTGAAGTGTCTGAATTGGCTCCCTCTGGCAGGAAGACGTCTACTTCATCGTTGTACCACCGCAGAAAATGCAATCAAAGGAGACATTCCGCAACATTTTGAAAGTTTTAAATCGACATTGAGAGGTTCGCATGGCTACGACACTAGAAATGGCTACTTACCTAGACTGCCTAAACCTAAAACCCAATGCGGAAAGAGGGTGTCCTACTTCCGTTTTACAAATGACTGGATGTCCCTCCCAGTATTTTTAAGAAAGCCAATGCCATGCACAACTTTTAAGGAAAACCTTCCAAGATTCTTAAAGGATAAATACTTTAAATGATGGATAAAACTTTAGATATACGCCGTTTTAGATCTGTGCCAACTGTATTTCTTATTTTAGCTTTTAATACTTTTTTTACCGAGGACCTCCCTGAAAACCACTTATTTACGTGACGGGCGCTTCCTCCTTAAAGATTGTTTATTATTATTATTATTATTATTATTATTATTATTATTGCTTATTAATTATGGCAAAGTCGCTAAATATATCGATTATTCTCGCTTATCAAGGCTTGTTGCTACTTATAGTCGCCTCACTGCTGCTTTAAAATTCGCAGTTGCCAGCAACTTCACCATGACACCTCATAGGATCAAGTAGCGGAGAATTAGGTGAAATAGCCTGATGATAAGTTGGAGCATGTGCCGTGGGCTGTACTTGGCTGGGTGCTGACGTTGATGGCGCGGAAAGCAACTCACTCAACCCCACATGTTCGTTGTCCGGCAGCACCTTTTTATACCTTAAACGCAAGTTATTAAAATATTGCTACTAAGATAAGGGGACAGCATACTCGTGGCACCTTCAGCTTTGCCAATTCGCCGATGCGAATTAATTAAGAACAGTGATTCAGCCTCGATCGCCTGCTGCCGAAGCCGCCAATTTCATAAACCGGTTTCTATGACAACATCGTTTTCTGCGCACGGTGAAAATATCATCTTTTTGAAATACAAAAAAATCTGGAGTTTTATCATTATCTAGTATACAATAAAGCTGAATTACGCCTTTTCTATTCTTCGCTTGTTCGTATTAATTATTGTTAAGTTGCATTCCTTTGAAACAGAGAACTTTACGGCTGTACAGGTAGTCTTCATTATCCCTTACGACAAAAACGCATTTCTATTCAGTGGAGACATCGAGGTGAATCGAGACAAAGTACCTTTTTCCATGTCCAACGAAATCCCACAGGAAGAAAAAAGTGGAGACATGAACCACAATCGTCTGAATCTGACAAGTGTCAGGAAACGGGAAACAAAGCGGCATTTCGTGTTATCAGCCTAAACGACGTGAGGAAGTTGAAGTTCATGCTATGTTTCAACAAACTTATCACCTGCTGCAGATATCTAACGTTTGGCACTCCACAACTTCCCTTTTGTATTTTTCTGCCCAGCAGTTCAAAATATTTCCCCGATAGAAAAAGGGTACATCGCTGATATAGAAGAGGCGACTCTTTTTAATCCCTCTCTGCATTTCACAACTCAACACACGTGTTGCACCTGCTCCACCTCCACGTTAGATAATCGCCGTGCTCTTACCCTGGAAAATTACCTCAGTTGACAATTATCACCTTAGTCGACTATCACACTCATACCATGTTTTCGTCAAATTTCGTCGCTTGTGCTGAGCTAGGAAATAGGTAGGTTAAATATTAGCTCAGTAATTTATGATGACCATTTCTCCAGTTAAATTAAATTTCTATTACCTTAAAGTACGAGAAGAAACTAAGGAAAGGTAAAGATTGTTCGAAAGTAAAAGTCGAAACGATACTGAATAAATTTCAAGCGATATTTCATACAAGTTTATTAATTAGGCTATATCTTTTCTACTTTTGTTCCTATTGCTGTTAAATTGCATTCTACTAGAAAGCCAAACTATCACTCATCTTGGATATATCAACAAAGTTGAAATGGTAAATTAGCCACCGTAATGATTACAAAAGTTTCGCTCCGACGAAGGGCTAACGCTCGAAACGTCAGCTTTTGTAATCATTACGGTGGCTAATTTACCATTTCAACTTTGTTGATATATCCAAATTATTTCGTTACTCCCACCGACGCAGCCCCAAACAGTTTCTTTCGAAACTATCAGCCTTTATAACTCATCTTGGCCCTTTATTCGGAAAGTAAATTAAAAAATATATATATATATATATATATATATTATGAGAGGAAAAAAGGACGTAACTACATATATATATATGTATATATATATATATATAAATGCACAGCAACTGGAAAAGCCTTGCTGTTTTAATGTTAACTTTTCAAGGCTGTAACGCTGCATATGTCAACAAGACAAATTAAGGTGCTGCATAAACCCGCTCTAACTTTTAGTTTATAATCTTATTAAAGTGGTGATAAACATTCACTGCAAACGTTTATTGAAGTAATAAAAATTGCGGGGAATGTATCACACTAATGGAAATTATTCGAACCTCAAGGCCGGTGTACTTAGCTTAAGTCGAAGTGTAACGACGTCCTCTCAGATACCTGCATAGCAGGTCGAATTCAGCGTCGCTTCTACAGGAGATGCTCGAGGAGCGCCAAAACTTAACGTAGATCAGCGATCTGATTCATCTGCCTCACGAAGGGAAAAGTTATTCTTTACTCATGGTGTAGCGGATAACAACTGTCGCAACTGGCAGATATTTTCTCATTTGGATATTTTGAGACTCGTAAACGATAAACCTATATGAATAGGAGATATTTTCATACAATACTTTTAATATCCTCTATAGTGTTTGTTAACACTGCTATTCAACAGAAATGGAATGACTAAACAAAACAGTCCTTTGAGGCTCACGCGTTGAATATTTCAAGTGAGAGATTTCCTAACATCTTCAGACCACGTCAAACATTTTACCACTTGTGATGGTCGGGAGTAAATTAAATGGGATATTCTCAACTGTATCCCAGGAAGCAGGACATTGTAAAAACAGGGTTTTGTGAGTTTATGGTATTCATTCACACTTATCAAACATGTCTTTTAGTGTTAAGATCATAAAAGATTTGAAAAATGGCCGAAGTTGTTAAAAAGGTTCACGAATCTCCGTTACATGTAATTAATTATGAATAAACAGTTGACCACACAAATTAGCAGACGTGACACAACCCACAGAAACTATCCATTTGTCAATCAAACAAAACGGGTAGATTATAACAGAATAACGGGGTATGACAATTAATTAGTTTACTTTTTTTTTCGCACCAAGCGACGTAAGATACTATCAAGTAAAAAAATTGTTTTTTCATGATTTCCAACCAAAGTTGATAACACATCCTCATTTAAAACTGTACTTCATTTAAAAATGTACTTGACATTTGAGGTATCTTAGTTCCTGAATGAGCCAATCAGATCTCAGATGCATTTTTAATGAGTTCTCTGGGAACTAAGTTCCTGTGTCAACCAATCAGATTTGGTTTGCAAAATGGACTTTGCTCTGTAGGAACTAAGTTCCTCAATAAACCCATGACATGGAAGAATATATGACATGACATTTCTAAATTAAGGTTT